TATGCAGAGTTGCCAACTGCTCCGGACACGCTAAAATTATTAAAAAACGGTAAATAACAATAAAGTAAATGTTGCAAATATTTGACTATTTTTGCTTTTTTTTTAAAAGATGTCGAAGAACATACTTACCAGAAAGTGGTGAATCTTATAAGCCAACGAATTATTTAGAAATAGTGGTGGATAAAAATCCACTAAGTTGAATTTATTAAACCAAGAATCATAATTGATAAACTACCGCTTTAATATATATATATTTGCTGTCCGGAGCAAGTTGGCATCTCTATGTAATCTGTCTATTGTTTTTGCTTATGTTCTCATTGCAGGATGAATGGGGAAAAGGCCATTATTGGCCTCAGAGGAGCCCAGCTAGACCAAACAGACCAGACCAATTATGTCTTGCTGAGCCTTTTAAAAAAAAGGATAATAAAATAAACCTTAAATCTAGGTATTTTAATTTATAATTATCTATCGTTTCTTTAAATATTTTGTTGAATCTGGAGCAATTGGCATCTCTGTATGTGTTATGATGAAATGTTTTCAAATTTCTTATATGAGCATAAAAATTATAACACTTAGATGCAGTTAATAGCTCTTACAAGGGCTGAAAAAAATATAAAAACACTTCTGTACTAACTCTACGTAAATAATGTTTATTTTAATAGGAAATTTTACATGACAAAACTGTTGGCGCTAGTTGAAAGATGAAACTTGAGCCTTCTTAGAAATGGTGTCATATTTGCTTATACAAAATTCAGTTCGACCGAAATGAAGAGAGGAAGTTAATAACTTCCTTTTAGCATCACTATCAGCAATTTTAAAACAAATGATTTCGACTCAATCATTTTAAAATCAATCATAGGAAGTAAAAAAAAAAAAACTTTTCAATTCTGGTTCTCAATTTCGTCGATGTCAAATTTTGCATTTGAAAAAAGAACCCATTTTATAAAAGCTTCCAGAATGATTTTTCATATTATGTTCAGTAAAACTTTCCCAAACATTTGCTGCTAAAAGATTTTTTAGCCAAAATGAGTTTCCATATATTTTGCTGAACCTCTTTTTTTTATAATATAATTTTAGAGAAAAAAAAATTAGATTTTAGTTAGTTGCGAAATTTTAATTTGAGAACCAATCAACGTTTTAAATAGACATGAAAACCTTTAATTCAATACTAAATTTTGCACACTGTCCTAAGAACCCGAAACTTCTCTTCGAAAATATTTATTTCTTAGAAGTATATACAATTAAAAAGTAAAATGATATAGTATTACTTTGTAAAGTACATACATTTAAAAAGTTAATAATAATAAAAGAATATTTGAAAAAAAGTTATATTGTAAGTTAATTAGAATTTAAAAGAAGCTTTTAGTTTTTACAAATGAAACTCATCCTGAATTAGTTTTGTTGTGCATCATTATATATATTTACGGATAAAATAAGAGTGAAAAGACAGTAAGAGTTAGTTTAATTGTAAAAACCAAGAACCTCACTATTAAGTATAATTATATCACAATCAAAAAAAAAATTTTTTTTGCGTACCACTATTAATATAATTTAAAATTTTAAAGATATTACAAAATGTTTTTTCTTATGGAGACGCTCATTTGTCAGATGAAATTAAAAGATGCGGCCAATGTAGGCATGCAGCGATATACAGGAAAGAACTTATACCTACCAACTTTTACGCATTTGGCGTAAAATTTTATATTTAAAGTGGGAATAAATATATACTTCATTTTCTTTTAAAAACTTAATTTTTAAATGATTTTGATCACCATTATTCTTAAAGAAATTAAGCATATAAATTTATATGTGTATTCTCATGGCTGTGAAGTTAAGCTTTTTCAATAACAACGTATTTCTTAGCTTAAAATAGAAAATTTAATTCCGTTTTACTACCACTGAGAAAAATCATAAGGGAAGAGATTAAAAGTTGGCAAGTATGAGAATTGCATTTCATATGATACTTAGAATTATTGATATGTAGTGATAAACCAAAATTACTTATTTTGATAAATAAACAAAAAAATGACTAAACTTTCGTTACCACTGGAAAATATATTTTTACAAAGCTGAGCAATTTGGCCTCGCCGATCATATTTAAGCAAAGTGGTTCTTACAAGGGAAACTAGGGAAGTGTGACTCGCCAATTTTGAAATAAACTAGTGGGATGTATGCCTTATGAGGAATAATTTTAGGGGGAAACATTCGTTTCGGCCCATAGAAGGTCCTGTGAGAGATAAAAAAATAATTCAATATATAGAGTAATCGATATTTTATTACTTCAATGCAGACTATTAGTTATTGTAATTGTTTCATACTCCGATTAATTTGTAATTAATAGGTTAATTAATTAATTAAAAAATTAACTAATTATTAATTTATTAGTAATTAATTAATTGATTTGCAATTACATACTCCAATTAATTTGAAAAAAATTTCGGAAATTTTTTTTTTTTTAATTTTATGTTATATTTTCTTTTTTTTTTTTTAAATTAACCTAACAGGTTTTTCTGAAAAACTACAGATACATAAAATTTTCGAAATCAATTTTGACAATAAATATGCATTATATAGTACGTGCAAGTACCACAAAATTAATTGGAGTATGAGATAATTACAATAACTAATAGTCTGCATTGAAGTAATAAAATACCGATTACTCTATATTGAATTATTTTTTTTATCACAGGACCTTCTATGGGCCGAAACGAATGTTGCCCCCTGAAATTATTCCTCATAAGGCATACATCCCACTAGTTTATTTCAAAATTGGCGAGTCACACTTCCCTAGTTTCCCTTGTTAGTTACAAAACAAAGAGCTTAAAGTAAAAAGATTCGGCAGGCTAGTAACAAAATCAACCCTATCATAGTAACAGTCAATAATTTATACTTCCAGGAATAGTTATTAATCAAGGTAACCAGATTATTTTAACTATAAGTGAATGGATTTCTAATAGTTTCATTTACTTAATTCTAAATAAAACAAAAATTATATTATTGTACTTTGAATTAACATTTATATGACGTGATCAGACAAACATTAATGTAAAAGTAAAATTAGTCTACCAAATTAATATATGTTAATATTTTAGTTACCACTTTTTTTTGCTGCTATTTTTTCTCGAATACATTTGCGAATCACTTGTCTAGAAGAGATTGAGTCATTTATTTTTGACAAAAGCCGATAGTGCAAGGTAAAATTGATGAAATTTTGCAGCACCAGAAGCTAAAACAGACAGATATAATAGATCGATTTTGGCTCCCACTTTCAGTGATAAGACATATTCAAGACTTCAATACCTAATATTGAATTCATCCATTATTAATCCAACCTTAACAAGTAAGCAAAAAAGAACTGCGATAACCTCTCCTGTACTTAACTTTTATCTATTAATATATAATCTATCTACCTTACTGTTACATGATGAATGCGAGAAAGTCATATTTGCTAAGGGGAAAAGGACATGTTTGCTAATGGACAAAGGCCATGAGCCATGTTTGATAGTAGGCAAAGGCCATATTTGCTAATGGGCAAAGGCCATGTTTGCTCCATTTGAGAATTACATCAGAGTGGATCTTTTAAGGTGTCAGCTGATTTTTCTAAAATTCCACTTGTTTTAATTTTTAAGTCTCCAATATTTTATGAAATCTTTGGTTAAAAGCAAACCATTAGGAATTTCTAATAAACTATCAACCGCATTGCTGGTATAGTAGACAGTTAAACTGAAAATTAAATATAGGTTTGTATCTTTAGCCCTTCCGCGGTACAGAAGAGGTGCTAATTGCTCCAGCTTCTTATTGGGTATTGAAAATTAAACTTTGACAGGGCTCCGCGGTCCTTGAAAAAATTTAGTATTCATAGTAAGTTAAGGTGAATGCTAACGGATATTTCTTATTTTAACATACCACTATGTCGTTAAGTGGGTTAGAAGCTGGAATTTTTATGCATATAAACTTTCTTTGGAAAAAAGTTTTTAGAGGTGATTACACAGAAATTAAATTATTGACATTGCATAATTTTCGTTGGTACTTTTTAAAATTTACAAGGCCCGCGGGAACCCTGTTTGAGTAGTTTCTCCAACATCTTAAAAGACTTACCACGTGATAACTGGAACCAACTAGCGTTTTGTATAAGCTTCTGAGTAATAGATACGAAGTGATTAGTGGAATTACTTTAAATCAAATTTGCTAAAACAAGAATCATACATAAATTTTACTGCCAATACTGCCCACAAAAGAAAGAAAGTTGGCATCTCTGTTAATGTCGTAGATTCCAATCTAGCTTCGACAATAATTAAAGTGGTATAAAACTTTACGCTTGACCAATTGAGTTTTTATTTCAAAGTTGTTGATTTACACGTTGAACGCCACGCTAATTTTACATGGCTTGCCCATCTGGCCTAACTGTTATAAACTACAAACTAAAATTGCAAATTAGACAGAATTTGCTAGCTTTAAAAGGTTTCGCAAGACATGTATGACGACGACGACGATCTGGAATTTAGTGAGGTGCCTGCCCGCGTGAGCGGGCACTTGACCTCTTCATCTGATATATTATGCCCTAGGGAGACTGATATAATTGGCATTGGAAAAGGATAATAAAGGAGTACAAGGCAGTTGGCGGCTTATAGTGTCTGCACTAGCAGCTCAAATCATGAATATTGAAAATAAATTGGATAAGTAAAATACAATTGAATAGAGAAATTAAAAATTTATAAAATATGCACAATAAAATTTTTGTACAAGTCTGGATAATTGAGGGGAAATATATACTTTATTTACAGTATTTACATCTGTGGTTCTCTGTTGGTACGACGACCCGGCCGTCCCGGTAGTCCACCGCTCGTGCCGGGTTGCTCATCGTTCTGAAATTAATAGGCCTACAGCTTGCCCAGATGGGACCCTACAGGGTTGCTCCTTCCCCGGGATCGCTGTAGTGTCAGGCCTAGTGTCATGGTTGTGTATGTTTGTGTGGGGAGAACCTTATCTGTTGTACGTACGTGAGAGTATACCATCGGATAGCAGGAAGTTAATAATAGGATTGTGGCTCCTACTATCTTGGATAAGTTCTTTGTCCATAATATTCTTGTAATTCACAGTATTTGTGTTGTTAGCACTATGAAAAAAGCTAGCGCTCATTAGGTTAATATATTCGTGGACTGTCTCAATATTTAGATCTCTACGTATGTACTTATTTGGGATCTGCCAAGGGGCACCAGTGATCCTACGGAGGAATTTATTTTGCAGTGTTTCCAATTTCTTGATCTGGGTGTTGGTTATACAGTTCCATGCGGGGCATGCATAAGTGAAAATCGGTCTTATGCAACTTAAATAAAGGTGCCTTTTTAAATTTAATGGTAGCTTTGAGCTAGAGTTCAATAAGGGTCGCATGCTGGCGAAAGCAGCTTGTGACTTTGTAATGATTTTGCTAATGTGGTCATTCCAGTTAAGCCTATGATTCAGGGTGAGCCCCAGGTAATCGGCTTTATTTACGACCGGAATGTTATCGGAAAATAGGCAAACTTTGTTTGTAACCTGTCTGCTTCTTTTCCTTCTTCTAATAAACATAAGTTTGGATTTGTCGGTGTTAATTGCTATTTTATTTTTTGAGCACCATTCTTCTATGTCAGGCATATTCTCGTTAAGCTTTTGAGCTGCGTGATTAGGGTTTATTGATCTAATGGCGATTGCCGTATCATCGGCGTAAAAAGCCACCATATAGTTGTGATCATTTGAAATAGGAAAGTCACTAGTATAAATTAGATACAGAAGAGGCCCAAGGATGCTTCCTTGGGGGACTCCCGCATTTATTGGCCTCTTATCAGATAACTTATCATTTAGTTTAATTTGAAAGGTCCTATTCTTAAGATATGAATCGATGATATTAATAAAAGCATTTGGGACCTTTTGCTTAATAAGTTTGGTTATAAGTGCCTTATGCCAGACGCGGTCAAAAGCTTTGGCCACGTCTAGCATAAGAAGGGCTGTGGTTTCGTGCTTATATAATCCATCGCTAATGAAATCTATTAGTCTGATCAGTTGTTTGGTGGTTGAAAGATCTTTTCTGAATCCAAACTGTTGGTCAGGTAAGAAGTTTATGTGGGGTATAAGCCTCCATAGCAGTAGTCTTTCAAGGATCTTCCCAAAAGTTGGAAGGAGACTTATTGGTCTGAAATTGGTGGCAATACGGCTATCTTTCCCAGGCTTGGCTATTAAGATAATCGTGGCATTCTTCCAGTTGTTTGGGAAGATGTTATGCATTAAACAAGCATTGTAGATGTTGCATAAAGCGTTGATCTGGTTAATTGTCAAATGTTTCATCATTTTATTATTAACATTGTCCTCGCCCGGCGCTTTCTTATTATTCAGTTTGTTTATAATGTTGATTATGTCCGCCTGGTCGATTGTGTCTATAGGGCCGGGGATTTTGTGTTTCTGATAATCATCATAGATATTATTTATATTATCTTCTTCATCAACATCAGTTGGATGTTGGTTAAGTTTAAATTGGTTCTCAATTGTGTTGGCAAATATTGTGAGTTTATCTTTATCGCTATAGATATTACGATTATTGTCAACAATTGGTTTGTTAACAGTCCTATTATTAGATGATTTCAGTGACTTTGCCATTCTCCAAATTGTCTGATTTTCGGTGCAGAGCTCTGCTATTTTATCATTCCAGTTGTCATTTCTATACTTTTGGCATTTCCTCTTTAGTACTTTTGTTAGCTTGTTTAATTCTTGTTTGTCTTTTGGGTCTCCATTTTTCTGCCATCTTTTCCTTATGTAGTTTTTATATCCTATTTCCTCTCTAAGGTGTTGTGGCAGTGCCATGTAATTCTTTTTGCTGGCCATAACTTTTGTTGCCTCTGAGTGAGCGGCCTGTATTTTATCAGTTAGTAGCCGTATTGTGGGCTCTATGTCGTTTAAGTCATTTATGGTATAATCATTATCATCGAGGGCTAAAATATTGTGAAAGATATTCCAGTTAGTATTGCTGATCATGATTGGGGTGTCTTGGATGGTGTCTCCGAGTGTGGCTATTACAGGTACATGGTCGCTGGTAAGCTCAGTGATTGTATGGCAGCTCATTGGAGTATTAGAATTTGTGATGAAAAAATCTAGTAAGTCTGATCTTTTGTTTGGTACGTACGGGAAGTACGTGTGATCAGTGGGTGCAATAACCGTCAGGTTATTATCTGCTATAATTTTATAAAGTTCCTTGCCGTTTTGGTTATTTGTGCGGCATCCCCAGGATGTATTCTTGGCGTTTAGATCACCTCCGATAATACACTTAATGTTTGGAGGAATAAGCGATTTTATGGTATCATCCCTAATGGTGTGGCCGGGTTTGTTATAAAAAGCAGTGAATTTGTATGCAGTCTTATCATTTTGGTAGAGAAGAATGGAGGTTTCCTCGTGATGTTGACCAGTACTATTGCTATATTGAACTGAGTTATAGCTTCTTTTAACAAAGATAGCCGTGCCTCCGCCTCTACATACAGTCCTATCGGTCTTATAGGTATGATAATTTGCTAAGGTTAACCTATTTGAGGCGTTTGTATGAGTTTCGGTCACTAAGGCAATGTCTATTTTATGCTCATAAATGAAATTACTGAATTCAGTAAATTTATTAATAATCCCATCCGCATTCCATAACATAATTTTAATTGATTTATTCATCATTATTTTTGTTTAGCTCCTCTAATTCGATTCTTTCTACTGCTCTTCTGAGCAGAGGTATTGCATTTAGTCCGTTTAACACGCTAACAATATCATTTAGTTTAGTAAATATATCTTTTGCGTCCTCCACAGTTTTCTGCATATCGGTGTTATGTTGTCTCTTAACTGCATCTGCATAGCTTTTGTTTTCAAAAACCCTTTCTTGGGGCTTATTTTTTCTTTCTTTTTGTTGTTGCCTAGGCCCCTGTGGGAACTTTTGGCATCCTCGGTAATTGGCTGGGTGTTCACCGCCGCAATTGCAGCAATGTGGTTTTTCATCTCTAGTTTTGGTGCAGTTTGCCGTCAGATGGTCTTTACCGCATTTTACGCATTTTGGATGCAATCGGCACATAGCTGCTGAGTGATAAAAACCCTGGCACCTGTGGCATTGCGCCGGGCCAGGTCGGGTTCTGTAAGCTTCCACTTTAACACGCAAATTTCCAACATGCGTAATATGATATATGTCTTTAAAATTCTTTTCTCTTCTTAAGGAGACTAAGTAAGAGGTTAGTTTTTTAATAACACCATTGTGTCTCTTTGTCATTTGTTTTACGCTTTCGACTGGGTATTCTGTTGCCAAATACGCAAGTAAATTTCCTTCACCATAATCAAATGGAACATCTTTTATAACCACTCGCATATGCCTTTCATTTGGTAGCCTGTACGAGTAGTGTTCGATATTGTTATCTTCCATATATTTCCTAATTCTACGGTGTGTTTCATCTGACTTTGGTTTTATAATCATATTTTCCTGACTATTTTTGCACTCATAGTCATGGACTTTAATTGATTTCATTGCATCTTGGAATTGTGAGTAGACAAAGTTGTCGTCTCTGACAATAATCGGGGGGTTTCTAGTTTTCCTTTTTACTTCAGTAAAATCAATTTCGTTTAAAGAGGTATCTGCGTTATTGTCTAAGTTTTCATTATCAATATCAATTTTATCGTTATCAATATTGGCGTTATCTATATTTATAATTTCATTATCGTTTATGGCTGATATTTCGTTTTCTTCCATAACGGCTAGCCTTTTGATTTCATTATTATTTCCTTTTTCGGGAGAAGCTTTTCTTTTGTTGCTAGCGATTTTGGAGTTATCGACTATCATTTCTTCATTATCAACGATATTTATGTTTTCAACCTCAAGGGGGCTAAATTTATTGGATAATGGTATAACCTGCTCTCTCGGGGGTATTATTTTTGTCTTAGAGAAAGATGGTTTAATTTGTTTAGTGCTTTTTTGTTTTTTGGGGCTATTAAAACCGTTTCCTGCCTTAATATCCTCCAAATATCCTAATTCTTTGCCGGTAATTATCTGTTTCATTTTACTAATACTATCTCCTTGAATAGTAATTTGTCTGATAAGCACTTCTATGCAGCTATGCAATTGAAGAAATGCATTTTTAACGGAATCTTCCTTAACCTCATCTAAAAGTTGGAATTTAATACTATCGCTGTATTCCCTAATCTTGGTGACATCTAACTTTCCGTTGTTTGCTGCATCCATATCATCTTTTAGGTCGCAACACCTAACCGTGTTGGGAACTACAGGGCTCCCAGGAGGTCCGTACAGTTCCGGCGTAGCCGTCCCTGCCGGTGCCTCAAGGGTGCCAAGTAGCCCCGCATCTTGTGGCTGCGACTGCGCCGCGCTTCCTATCTCCCGGACAGAGAGCCCTAATAAGGGCTGGGGTGGATAGGTATATTGGTAGCTCATTCATATGCAGTATTATGAATTATAGATCTGCCGAAAAGTCCTGTTCGCGAAAATACACGCCCTATTTTTCTGTGTTTGCTAAGTGTACTTGAAAAATAAAGTGGTAACAAGGAATTATAGATCTGTCGAAAAGTCCTGTTCGCGAAAATACACGCCCTATTTTTCTGTGTTTGCTAAGTGTACTTGAAAAATAAAGTGGTAACAAGGAATTATAGATCTACCGAAAAGTCCTGTTCGCGAAAATACACGCCCTATTTTTTTGTGTTTGCTAAGTGTACTTGAAGAATAAAGTGGTAACAAGTTTACCTTGTACATATTAGGTTTACTAAAAATGTGAGTAGTAGCAAGTTTAATGTCATATTAGTAGTTCCAGGTGACATGATGTCACCTTAGTGTCGCGTGTGAATATGTATGCACGCAATCTCTTGAGCCATATATGGTTGTGCTTTTTTATATTTATACATTTTAGAGTAAATGCTTACAACTTTTTTTTATAAAGGCTCCTTTTGAATCACAGTGTAATGGGGCATGTATATAGATAAATTAAAAAATACTTGAATCTTTAATTTTTTTTAGTTCTAGCTGCACATTTTAAAATAAATAAAAGTTTCCGTTATAATGGCGACCAACTACACCCAACAGTTATAATAACGAAAAAAGCGAATAAATCGTTAAGGCTCGCTGGATTGTAAATCAGCGTTCGATGGACCCTAACTTGTGTTTTAAATCACGTATTTAATTACAAGTATTTTCTTGTTTTATGATTTTTTGGCATTTTCCCCTCTCTTCGCTTCATGCCACTTTACTTTGCATAAGAATAGTAACGCCTACTTTCAACTTAAACTCAAAAGATCAAAGCTGTGCGGGAGGACACTCCTACAGACGAGAACCTATATTATCAATTCTATTAATTTCATTTTAATGTTTGAGCCGTCCATATACTAGATTATAAGACTAGCCATGCCTTTATTTTATCTCTATGAGTCATATCAGATTCGATGAATCAGTGAAAGCCCACCAGGAAATCTAAGCCAATTTCCTCCATCTTCTGCATACTGCTAAGTAAAAAGTACACGTACTTCTTCTCAGAAAACCAAAGATTTCGTATACTTGTCAGGGGAATAAGCTAAGGGGACTAGACTACGAGAATTACAAATAATTTAGATAAAAAAATTGATTTGGTGCAATTGGAAATAGAGAGACTATTAAAAAAAATATTTTCATTTATTAAACCACATTAAGTACACCCAAAAACAATATACAACTTCTTTAAAACAAGAGCCAGTCTAGTTCTGCTCTAAAAACAATTTTTAAAATAAAATTCACACGTGGCTTTTTTTTATATTGCTGTTGTACATTTTTCTTATTTCATTATTTTTGTTGCTTTTCACCGCCTCACTGGATTTTATTTTTAAAAGTCCTGGCAGTAGATAATTTTATAATAATATAATTTTTAATTAACACAGTTATTGAATTTCTCTATCTTGAGTTTCACGTATTGCAATTATATTGAAAATTATATCCAGCAAATTAAAAATTCAATATTATTTTAGTAATAACATTTAGATAATTATTTTTATGTATACATAAAATAGCGATACACAGATGTCATGCGACCAAATAAATATTTCAAAATTAATTAAAGGAAATATTTCAAATTCCAATATCAATTCTCATTCCAGACTCCAAATAGTAGGGTTGTTTCATAACCGAGCTCTACGCTACTATGGGAACACATAGATTTGGCCGCGGAGGGAAGGTTTTTCGACCCAATCGCGAACAAATCATTGATCTTGATGCTTTAAAGAAAGAGATCAGGAGACCAGCCTTGAGTTAACAGAATAAGCCTCTTACAACAATAATTCAGAATAACAGAATAAGTAGAAAACTGAAAATTCTCTTCAGAGGACTTAATGTTCATATGCCAGATATTGAAAAAGGCCTGCAAGATTTTGGACTATGTCCAATAAGAATCCACCTGATGGAATGAGGCGGGGCCAAAAGTAAAAGCGCCTCCACCTCTTCCTTGTCATTCTCAAAGACACCACCAAACATTGAGAAATCTATGACGTCAAAGAACTTCTGATTGCTCCAGTTCAGATAAAGAGATTTCGTGGAGGCAGCCACGAGATTCAATGTTACAGATGCCAGAAGTATGGCCACACGCGAAAATCCAGCAATGCCGAGCCAGCTTACATGAAATGACCCGATGCACATTTCACGTACTTAAGTACAAAACAGATATGCGAGCAGGCCAAATATATCAATTGCCATGATGAGCAACCAGCTTGTTTTTCCGGCTGCATTGCAAGACCCAAAAGGAAACAGAGAGGAAACCCAGACAAGAAAAAGAAATCCTCCGAGCTTGATATGAGATTCCTGCTACTCTTCAGGAAGATGCAGCAGTTGGTGAAGGACCAAGTACTTGTAAATCCTACTCGGTAAACCCTACTCCCACCGAGCATCCCTACTCAGTGGGAAGTAAAATATGTAGAGATCATCCCACAAGCCCGATCCCACCAAGACGTCCACAGTCCTCCGGTGGAAATTCTCATCACTTTTTAAAGCCAATAGGCAATGCCCTAGGGCAAAACTTACAGATGAACAAGTGAGCTGCTCGCTTTGCGGGCAGATATTCGAACTCCTACCTATCTAGTCTAGTAAAATTTCCAAAAAATATTAAAGCGCTCCTCTGCAAGCATACTTGCGGATGTAGCTGGGAGGAAACTGTATGTAAAGAGAATGGTTCTTGTTAGTGCAAATATTGGTTATATACTTATTCCATTTTATTATAGTTCATAATATATTGCACCAGTGCATGAAAAGTAACGCAAGTAATAAAAAAAGCAATTTTGAGGTTATGTAAATAAAAAATATGTATGAAGTGCCCCATCAAGCTCAAATAGTGTCACACCTCTAAATCACAATTCATCCAGCTGAAGGTAATCGTGTGTCTATTTCAGAATGAGTTTTATAGTACTCTTAAAGAGGACGCAATACTTCCCCTCTCAATAACAGCATCTAATGCTTTTTCTATGGGGGCTTCATCTGCAGATAAATTTTTTTGCATTCTGATAAAATTCCTTCAGCATTCAAAACTTCATAGTTTATTAAGCTTCTGTGTATTCACATTTTTTTACATTAAATTTTAAATTATTGATGGAGTTGAAATATCGTTAATTGAGTTATCTTCTAGAAATCCGTTTCTTTATCATAATTCATTCAG